ATGTTTGAGTATATGGACACGCTAATCTTAATAAAATACTCAGAAAAAATTCTTGGCACAAAACAAATTACACAATCATGGGAAGTTATTCTAAGCCTCAAGAACTAAGAACGTGAGTTACAAGGAAACCTTCCTTCATCCCTAAGCTTCCCAGGCACCTGGATAGAAGATCTGGGAGACAACAGTTAATAGAGTAGAGTAAGGGCAGCACATTCAGCCTACTAATACTTTGAGATTTCTCTGAGGAGAAGGGAAAGTAAAACTCTTTTGGGACCTACCTTACAGAGGGGTTTTGGTGCCAACAGCATACACAAATGCTATCCCATCATTCAGTACCTCGGAGCACATACACTGCCCATAGACCTATTTTAGGGACAGCCACACTGAGACATTCCCAAGGTCATAAGCTTTTGAACCGATGCTTATGTTACTTTCTACTGGACCAAGTAACTTGAAACACAAACCACATATCCCTTTGTCTGTATCTTTTCTTCTAATTATTGAAAACAGATACTATTGCACCCAAAATACTTCGATTGATCCTGTATGTTACCAAGAGACTAAGTTGAGAAGAACCATTTTTTCCTCCCAACAGAAGTCATCTCATGATTTCTCTGATAGCTTTTTTTTCTCTTCTCCTGTTGAACTATCAATGTGAACTACTCAAAGAAACTGTAACTGCCAGTCTTCTGATTAATCTGTTTTCTTGGGGTATTGCTTGACAGTGGCAGACTGGTCCATGAGGGCAGTTTTCCCATAGATGTTTTCAACAATTCTAAGAACACAGAGCTAAAGGGAGTATGAAAGGCATGTAAGGCAGTATGGACATCTGGTCTGCCTTCCTACAGAATTAGCACAAGATCTTCATCTGATTGTTATTTCCACCTCACAATCCCTGGGAACCACAAGGATGCCTTAGATGGCAGGGGTGGGGCAGGGACCCTGCTGGTGGAACAGAGACTTCAGCCTCACAATTTAAGTTGGAGAAGAATGTGTTTTTGCACGCTAACTAAATTTGAATTGCTTCATCTATTCTTAGGCACAGATGCATTCAGAGAAAGGAGAGAGAGAGGCAGAAAGTGCTGAATCACTTTGGGTTGAACACAAGAAATGAGAGGAAAGCATTCCAGGCTGGTGACTGGAAGGTAGGTTCATGCTTTCGTGAGAGGGACCATTCTGCAGAGGCAGCACATACACCCCTGAATGTGTAAAGGACATACCAATCCCTTCGCCCTCCACCCCCTTCCTGCCTTTTTCTTCAGTTCATGGTACTTGGAGAGCCTTACTTGAGTTCCTCAAGAAAAGCTCAAAGGACCAACCAAGCCCCTCACCGAGCAGTCGCATTTGGAGTGAAGTATGAAGGAACCTTGCTGAGGATGAAAGGATAACATCATATCCTCACACCAGCCTTATAGACAAAATTCACATGAAAGCAAAAGATAATAATACCAAGACCCCTTCTTCCCTTTTCCTGGGTTTTATTTCTCATTTTCATCCAAGCTGGGAGACAAGGGAATATTTTTTGCACTCTTCCTCAGCCTCAATAGATTAAATGAATTCATCAACATCAATCATAGTGTGTGTAGCATCACCAGTTTAATACATGCTGACTGTCCGTGTGTCGCCTCAAAATGCAGGCAGCAGAGCAATGTCAGGGAGGCAGGAGCAGTGTGAAGGAGGGGTGGAGAAGGGGCTGTGTGCTGTGCCAACTATGCTGGCACTATAAGTATGCTTGTTTCTAAGGATAGTTTTGATACACTGCCAAATCTAACGACATTCCATCCATTTGATTTTGTTCTGAAATCTAACTGTATGTCTTCAAGTTTTACATCTATATGAGGCATAGCAAGAGTTCTTTTCTTTTTTTTGTATTAAATTCTTTTATTGGTACATTGTAGGTATACAACACAATTACATTTCTCACTGGGAATTGTACCTTTATATAATGCATCTTGGTTCTTATTTTCTCCCCATTCCTAGCCCGCCCTTCACGCCCTCCACCCTTCCCTATTTACAAAGACTTTATTTCCATTTTTTCCATTTCTCATCATTTTTCCTTTCCCCTGCCCCTCCCACTACCCCTACCCATTTGGACCTTTTCTTCCTATTTTACATTATCGATTATTCATTCTAATCATTGGTACATTTTAGGTATACAATATAATGACATTCATCATTGGAAATTTGCACCTTTACATAGTAAGAGTTCTTTTCTTAACTTGGTTATTCCCACCTTATTTATAGCTGTAATTATTTCAAGAACCTAGTAAAGTTACACCAAGGTCTAGGTTTGAATTAACATCAGAGCTACGTGAAATAGAGATGTTTTGTCTCTGGAGTGTGGGGTTTCACTCTGATGCTTTTAAATCCACTGAGATGGAAAATGTAAGAGGCCCATTGTGTTTTATATTGTCTCTTAATTTACGATTAAACACGTTCCTATGCAGCATCCCCTGCCCTCTCCATTATAAATACTGACAATAGGCTCACTGTGACTGTCGGGAGAAGCCCTGGACCACAGGATCACTAGAAATTCACCAGGATGAATAATTAGAAGAGAGGAATTTGCCAAAATGTACAGCCAGGGAAAAGCTCAGTTTTTCTGGGAGTGTGAAGCTCATATAGTATGCGACTCTCTTAAGAAAAAGAATAAAATTGTGAACACCAAATATGAGACCTCGAAGCATAAGTTTCATTAGCTTCACAGCGAACTGTCTTCTGCACATGGCCAAGGGCTGCAGGGCCGCAAAGCCACCTCAAATCACCCTTTCATTGCCTCCCCTAAGGAAGAGATCGTGGCCTCCAAGCCCCTTCCAACCTCCACTGTCTTCTCTCCTTTCACACGCTAAAGGAAGTTCCCTCTCATGGAAGCTTTAGCCAGCAGCCAAGCATAACTTACGCCTAAAAAGAATTTTCACACCACCTTTGCAAGCGTTGCATATTCCTTTCCCTATTACCTTGCAAATGTTGCATGTCTCTTTTCTTGGTGGCAAATATGCATAATGTTTCTTTTAAGAACATTAATTCACCATCATAGAATATATGAATGAAGACTAGTGTTCTAAATTATCAGTTGTCAAATTAAAAGTCTAGCATTGAAAAAAGCTCATCCAAAAAGGCCACATACTGTGTGACTCCAACAACTGATTTTATGGAAAGGCAAGATGATGAAGATGCTAAGAAGGTCGCCAGGTGCCAGAGACTAGGGTGAAGGGAGAAATGACTAGACAGAGCACAAAAATTTTTAGGGGACTGAAACTGTTCTGTATTATACTATAATAGTGAGTTCATGTCATAATGTAATTGTCAAAACCCACCTACCTTAGTCTATCCAAGATGCTAGATATGCTAGATATCTTATAAATAACAGAAGTTTCAGCCTCAGTGTTACAAAGGGGAGGAAGCTGAAGATCAAGGAAACGGCAGATCTGACAGGCCCTGGTTGGTGAAGGTGGTCTTCCTGCTGCAACCTCTCATGGCAGAAGATGCAGGAAGCTTTTTGGAGTCCCTTGTTCATGAGCACTATTCCTCTTAGACACTTCCCAAAGGCTCTGCCTCTTAAAACCATTGCACTGGGATTAGGTTCACTGACCATCAGTTTGAGGAGAGTACAAACATACAGACCAAAATTCCTGGGATTGAATTTGGGGAAGAAACATACATCCAGACCTCAGTATCATAGAATACAGCATCATAAGTGAGCACTTGTATAAATTATGGATGTTGAATGATAACAGGGAGGAAAACTATTTTCCTTTACCTTTACATGCAGTGTTTGGAGGACCATGAGTTAGAATAATAAGGAAAGATTAATAAGAGGCATAACATTTTAATAACATTTACACACATAGAAGTTCGCAAATAAGAAATGAAGCTCAAAAAATCAATTAGATTAAGGGTTATATACCATTTTAACAAAGGAAAGGGCATTTGAGCTTCAAGGGATGATAAATCATAGGGAGGTATCTAGGAAATGTGTTGGGGAACCAATGGGACATAACAGTTATTTTCATAAGATTTCTCATACAATCTCACAAACTCATCATGTGTGTTATCTTCAGTGAAGAGTTTCTCTCCCCTGCTTGTAGAGAAGACAGGGACCCTGGCACAAACTGAACATGAAGGCAGAGAGCTCTTCTTGAATCTGCAGGATCCCAATTATCTTCAGCTCAGAATAATCCTTATGAACAAATGGCATGCTTTGTAATGACATGTATGGATTCTTGCAGTGACAATTGTGTGTCAGTGCAGCTTCACTGATGGTAGTGAACCTGCCACTGTGATGCAGAACATGCTAGGAGAAGCTGTGCATGAGTTGGGAGGGAAAATTTAGGAATTGTGTACTTTTCTGTTCAGCTTTGCTGCGAATTTGAACTTGTTCTAAAAATTGAAGTCTATCTTTAAAAATAAAATGAAGTACCCAAATAACTCTAGACTTAGGTGAGTAGAGGCTTTATTTTGAAGGATTATTGAAAGAGGGAGAAAGGATCTATTGCAGTTAGGAGAACACTCACTATAAAATCTTCAGGTATGTCAGAATTCAGGCTGAAAGGGAATTTTCCATTACAGGGAGGAATGAACAAGGCTAAAGAAACCAGGTGTAGGGGCACGAGATAAGCAGGCAGAGGGGCCTCGTGAGAGAGTAGATCAGAGAATATTTTGTCCTCAGCCTCCTCCTGGGAAGGGCTGGTAGATAGCAAATGGTGCAGGCTGAGACAGTTGAGGGATGTGGGAAGGAGGACAAAAATTCGACCAAAATTTGGTAAATCAGGTTAGTGGGCGGCTTGTTCAACTGATCAGTGGAGACAAACAATTCAGCTCATCATGTATGAAGCCACGAATGGGAATTTGGAAGGTCAGTGAGTGGTCTCATAACAGCACACAATGACAGCATCCTCGAGTCTTCTCTGACTCACAGGAGGAAGGGTGGTTCTTTGCAGTAAGCCATTTCCTGGAACTCTGTAGTCCAAGTGCAATTTATTTCACCAAACGCACCCAGTCCGTGCCATGGAAGGAAGGCATGGGTGATGTTAGTCTGAAGGCCAGCCAGAGGGACTGACGGTGCTGTAGCCTGAGCCATCGTCTCATGTGCTCTCAGATTAGACCACTATAGAGGCTGAGAAAGTAAGCAGATGGCTGTCAAGTCCAGTCTGACTGATTTTACTGCACTTCAAACAGGAAAACTACAGAACAAATGGTAAAGAGAGGTCACTGGAGCAACAGGTATGGATTAGGGCCCTTCAACTGTCCATGAATACAATGCTAAAATGGTGAAAACCAGCCTGCTTTGATCTTGGATAAAAGAAGCTACATGTGGAGAGCATTGGTGACAATGAGATGTTGAGGTTTCTTTATCTAAAAACGATGGATCTCAAGTGACTTTTAGGTACTAACAGCAGAGCAAATACAATTCCTTCTTACTAAGGTAAGAATGACAAGTATTTTATAATTACTCCCAAAAGCTATAATATTCCAACAAAAGTGGAGGATGTGATTGTAAATATGCAATATGGGTGTGAATGTGTTTGTGTGTATGTGTGTTCAGAGGAAAAGAAAAACTAAGTAATGACTTTAAATACTTAATATTGCTGCATACAATCATCTTTTAGAAATATTGCATCCCATAAAGAATAACTTAAGAATCATATCAAGATTCCACAAGAAAATTAAACAGTTTTTGGACACAATTCTTCTAAATTTAGTTGCAGTTTGCTCAAGAATCCATTGGAAATGTTTAAGTATTCAAAATGCACTGACAACTTGTCAAGCTTTTTTGTGGACTAGAGGACTGGATTTAAGATAGCCAGGAAAGCAGATACTCAGGGTAAGGGAAAGAGAGCATGACTGTAAGGCGGGAGCCAAGAATGTTTTTTGGATAATGGTCTTTTACTGACCTTCATTGTGTGGAATTTCATCAGTGTGGACACTTGATTCTTGCGCTCTTCTGTGTGTGTCATAGTCAGTTTAGATTGTCATTATGCAGTAGCATAGATCAGGCACCTTCAGTATCAGGAATTTACCTCTCACTGTTTGACAACTGGATGTACAAGATTAAGGTGCTGGCAGACCCGACTCCTGGTGAAAGTCCTCTCGTAGTCTTGACAGGTGCATTCTACTGTGCACTCAGAGAGAGGGCTGTCCTCCGTTCACACTCTTGGAGAGGAAACGAGCTGCCTCTCTTTTCCTCTACTCAGAAAGGTGTGATCCCATTGGACACATCTTCATTCATTAATCTAAATCTCCCACCTCCTAAATTTCCCATCTCCTAAAAGCATCCCACTGAGGGATTAGGGGTGGGGAGGGTGAACAAAGATTTAACCCATAACTGTGTGTCGCATAGGGACAGACAAAGATTCTTGCAACTATTAAAATTACTGCTAATTTTATAAGAACAACGCTAGAGTTAGGTATGGTACTACACACTTGTAAACCCAGTACTCTGGAAGGCTGGGAAAAGAGGATTATGAGTTCAAACCCAGCCTGGGTAACTTAGCAGGAGCCTGTCTCAAGGTAAAAAATAAAAAAGAACTGATAATATTGCTCAGTGTGAAGGCTTTGAGTTCAGTCCTCAGAACCAAATAAGAAAAGGAAGAGAAAGAAAATAAGAGAGAGAGAGACAGAGAAAGAAGAAAAAGATGCTAGAACATGTAATCATTTGTTTTTCAAAGAGTTTTAGATCTTGTTTTGACAATGTCTGAAAGCAACTCTAGAAATGATAGAGAGTAAATATTTTAGGCTTTGTGAGCTGCAGGACCTCTGCTGGAGATAGACAACTGCGCTGCTGTGACATGAAAGCAGCACACAGAATAAATAAAGGATGAGCACTTCTGAATTCCAAAAATCTTTGTTTACTAAAACAGATGCAGGTCAGCTCAGATCTGCTGTATGGGCCATCCTCCATCAGTGTCTGATCGGGATGATGGATGGCACAGCCACACTTGGGCTGAAAGTGAAGAGTGAAGGCATGTGATTCACAGGAGGGCTGTGCACTGCAAAATCCTGCAGTTCCCATGAGGACAGAAGGAAGGTGGAAGGGCAGAGAGTCTTAAAGTTGGAGAAGTCGCAGTGAATATGACGTCAGCGTCTCATCTTCCATGCTAGAACGCTGGGAAGTCTAATACGAGAGGCTTCAGACTGCTGAGCGTGGTGGAAGCCAGGGGAGCTAAGACTTGTCAACCATGAGAAGGTCCAGGAATGGGCGGTCAACTCTCCGGAAACGTACTTCTTCTGTAGAAGGTGCACTTGTGGCATCTGTTCTCCTGAGATCTCAGTTCTCCTTTATAGAACAGAAAGGCTATAAAGCAAGAAGGCCTGGGTGTGAAAAGATCTCTGCCATGTTCCAGCTGTGTGCCCCACACCTGGCCAGCAGCATCCTTAAATGAGGACAATAGTACTCGTCTTCCGGAGGGCCGATGTGTGCAAAGCTCTAAGGTGTGCCTGTCACGGAGTTGGTGCTGGGGTAGCTTCCTCAGCACACACTTAGAGTCACTTCTGGGACCCTGAGATGCTCTTCCTATTAGCTCCCCAGAGCTGTGCTTCACTTTCCTTAGCGCTCTGTCCAATGCGAGCACCAAGAGGCAGCTGTGAGCATCAGGCTCTCACCCTGCTCTGCGGTTGCCGGAGAAGATGAACCACAGCACAGGTCTTTGGGGTCTTGTCTGGAGAGAGGTCTCCCTCCTCATAGATCACACTGGAATGTGCTTTCCTTGGTGGCACAAAACATGGGCATGGGGAAGGGCCATGGCAACATTCCAAGTCTCGATGGACTCTTGTCGCTGCTCCCTCCTGGCCTGAGCCCTCTCACTGTTTCATCTCCGCTCGGAGTTTCCTCCCCTCTCATCCACACCTTCCTCCTTCCCATCGCTAAACCCACTGCTTTACCAGCACTCCACACCCTAGCTTCCTCTGTATTTCACTCAGGATTCGTTCAGCTGATCCTTCCTGTAGGGAGTCTGCCCAGTGTCATTCATTGTCCTCCACCCTGACCAGATGCATGAGGGTCTCCTCTTCCAGCTCCACACTACCTTGCACATGTCTGTAGCTGGTCATTGTATCTTTCTCTTCTGCTAGAATATGTGTCTTGACATCAGTGACCCAGTTAGCAGTGACTTGAAGTCACCAGTGCTGACCACAGGCCTGCATCCTGTGCTCAGTAATATTTCCAGCTCCCTTAGTTTCCGCCCAGACAGCAGACACTCTCGGCCCCTTCACTCCCCATCAGTCCCTGATTATTCCTGCAGGGCATCCTGCACATCTTTTAGAGAATCTTTTCCTGCACAAACCTCTCCTTTAAGGCCATCTGTTCTATTGTTGGTGTGCTCTATTTTTAGAAAAATTCTTTGAACAGAATCTTCACTCTAAGCATCTTCTTGCTTTAGGGATTAGTTCTTCCATCTGGAGCAAAGAAAACATGCTCTTTTCTTTATAAGAAGATAATCTTTCTTATACTTAAGACAATTATTTGATCTTTTTTTAAAAAACTGACAATAGTGCTATATGGGATAGATCATGATGCTACAGTTCATTTACACAGGCTCCCATTAAAACAGAATAGTCAATATGTTCATCACCCCACATGCTTATAATTTTTTATGGTGAGTACACTTAAAACCTTCTCTTCAGCAGTATTGAAATATACAATATATTATAACTAACACTTAGTCACTACCATGTGCGGTAGATCGCATGTGCTTATTTCTCTTTTCTAACTGAAATGCTGTGTCCTTTGACCAACATCTTACTTTCCACCATCTAGCCCTCACTCAGCCTTGGAAAGCAACCATGCTAATCTCTATTTTTATGAATCTGGACATTACTAGTGGCCATGCTGGGAGACGGTCTTTCTATTAGGCCATTTCTCTAGTTTCATCTCAACTGTTACAGATTTCTTGGCCTTGTGTTGGGCCTATTGAGTAAGAAGACACTCTGGAATAAGGATCAGGGAAATAAGTCTTATAAATGACCCAGTTTCCACTAGTTTATTATTAATTTTTGGCACATTTTATTCCCAACACATTGTGTTCAGCAAGGTGCTTGAGTGACAGCATTTGTTACCTTTTAAGATATAATATCAGAAGTTCATAATCTAATGAAAATCTAAATAAAAGTCTAAATTCATAAAAACCATGAAAGTGCTATGAAAGATATCCATAAATAATAGAGGATGATATAATATCAACTGTGAAGGTCAGACTACCAGGCTTTGCTCTGGAAAATCTAGGATTTGAGTCAGAGTGAGCTGGAACCACCAGCCATGGAAGAATGCTGGTGACCAAGAGCCTGCCTGACAGAGCACACAGCTGTGCACCTTCCACTGCCTGTCACCTGCCTGGAGCCAGAGCCCAGGTGCTCGCTCTCTGAAGTGAGACTGCGATCTCACCAATAGATTGATAGCTCAGGCTGTGTGTGTGGCTGGGAGTTTCGCCCTGACACCAGATGCTCAGTGTTATGTACTCTAAACAGCTGGTTTGATAAAGCTGTTTACTCCCTACCTGGGTGTTGGCTGTCAAGCCTACCATTAACTTTCAGGAGCTCCCAGATCCTCAGGGAGAGAAATGAGCACACAGTGCTGCCCTCGACCAGGAGCAGCAGACCACGGGCGCCACGTGGCAGCTGGCCTGCGTTGAATTGGAAGTGGCTTAGCTCTTGGGAATTGCAGTACACTAAGTCCACCACACTGGAAGATTTTGTTCTGTATACCCTACTCCTTCTCCAAGGACAATTTTATCCACTTTCTCCCTTAGTCATATAAGGATTTTAAATTGACATCCCCTGCATAGTTGCTAAGGGAAAATCAGGAGTGTGATTGTGACATACATTGCTGGTAGACCATGCTTTGTAAATGTTGATGGTTAAAATTATTTTAAAAACATACTACGCTGAAAATAGATTTTCTACCTCTTCAGATATTTTCCAGTGAATATATTTTACCCTTCAAAGGAATGAATGACATTTGGTTATCCTCATTTAACATTTTTGATGTCACACATTTATATGTTTCTTCCTCTTGCTAGGGTATCCTAGCCACAAAATGCAACCACACCACTGATACTAATCCCAGAACTGTTTTATATAAGACACACAAAGGATTTGACCAGCTTTAGCTCCAATGTCTGAACATCACCACTGTCATGAAGCTTCTAGGCCAAAGCTAAGTACACTTCCATTACTCCGTGCATCTTCTGCAACCAAGTGAGTCATGGGTGGCCCGAAGGTGCATGAACTAGTCTTTGTGCCTAAGGAGTTTGGGGTCCAGATAGAGAAATACATCTTTAAACCTTAAATAGACACTCCATTTATTTCATAAATAGTTTTAAAGTACATATTACAAATTAAGCAGTGTTCTAGCTTCTAAGATATAAAAACAAATATTTAAAGACCACAAATTTAAATTTTATAACATTTAAATAAAATGCTTAAATAGAATAATAGTCACAGTGAGTATTCTCCAGGATCTATAGAAGATTCCAATGTGAAGTAGGAACAAGTTGTTGTTTGCAGAACCACTGACATTTTGTCTATAAAAATAGCATTATTCAAATAAAGAATTCAGTAGCAGGATTGCTATGTAAGTCACCTTTCCATCTCTATGACAAAATCCCTGTCACACAGAACTTAAAACAGGAAATGTTTATTTTGAGGTTTCAGAGATTTCAGTCCATGGTTGGCTGGCCCCAATGCAGAAATGTGGTGGTGGGACAGTGTGGCAAAGGAAGTATGCTGACCCCATGAGAGCTGCAAAGCAGGAAAGAGGGGAGGAACGAGCAAAGAAGGGACCAAAGACAAGATATATCCTCCAAATGCATGCCCACATTGACCTACTTCCTCCAACTAAGCCCTACCTCCTCATAGCCCACCAAGCTATGAACAACCATCAATGAACAACCAAGATCACCTATCACAACTGCAAAATAAGCCCAGTGAAAAATGAATGTTTGAATCTAAAAGCTTGCAGGAAAGACAAAGGACTCAGAAGAAAGAATGATATTGCTGAAAGCCAGTTTCTTACTCTGCGACACATGAGTTTGCAATGAAGGGGAGTAAAAAATCCCTTTGGTTGTGCATTTAAAATAGAAGCATCACCAATATGTCAGTCCGGGTTTAATCAGATAAAATGGAACCATTAAAAGATTCATATCTCTATTGAGGCATTTACCTCAAAGAATTGGCCCACATAATGGTGGACACAGAGAGACAAATCCAAAATCCCTGGGTCCAGCCTGGCAGCCTAGAACCTATGGACATAAGCTGGAGCTGCAGCATGCAGGTGTAAGTTCCTCTTCCTTGGGGAAGATGAGGCTCTGCTCTTCAGGACTCTGAACAGATCGGATCAGGCTCACGCAGAGTATATAGCACGGCTGCCATATTTATAATGAACTGATGATGAAGTTTAATGGCACCTATGTAATACCTTCAGAGCAATCTCTAAATTGATAGTTGATGAGTAACTGGGAGCTGTCATCTAACCATGCTGACACATAAAGCTGACCACCACAATGCTCAATAAATACTTGAAAGGGGATGATGAGTCCTACTTCCCAGTGTGATTATGAGAATTAAAAGGGCTGGCAGAACTTGGATGTCAGTGCTCACCATAAATGTAGATCTCCTTTGCAATCTTTCACCCTCACTTTCATCCCTGTCCATCATTGAGGCTGTTTGGATTTCAGATCTCTTCCTCTGAGCTCCAGCCCACGTATCATGTGTGCCATTGTATTAACCACTGAAATCCACACTCCCCATTACATGTACATAACCACGAATCTACCCTCATATCCAGGGAGAATACACAACAAACAAATGAACAACAAACCAGTTCAAACAAATGTGTAGCCTCTCTGCCAATGCTGGAATATTTAAGAGTAGAAATCTTTGCCCTAAGATGTTTGCCAATTGCTGGCCTTGTATCTCACAGGTCTTTTTCTCCTACGCCACTTCCTGCCACCTCTGTGCTGTGATTCATTGGCCCAGGTACAGTGCTCAGCACATACTTCTGCTCTCTGCCATCCCAAAGTGCACTCCCACTAAGAATCCTTATACACAGCAACCCAATGTAAGAATTTTAGGTAGGAGCATGGACCCTATTTACCTTTAATTAACATCCTCACACTTTATAAAATGTCTAGTGCTCCCCACCGTAAAGCAATATGCAGCAATAACTCTAAACATCTCTGACTCTTCTCCTCGCCTATTCAACCCTTAATTTCCTCTCCTTCCCTCGTTCATCTCTTCAGAATCAAATTAATAAATCCTTTCTTCTGGTTTAGGTGCAGTAACTTGCTTCCTTCCTGATATAGCAGATTATATCTCTTCTATGTCAAGCACTCGTGAGGACGTTGGCCAGCTGGTGTATGAGATGGACATCCACAGGGACGTCACCTTTGGAGCCCTGTGCTCCAAACCTCCGGGAGTGCATGGCTGGAGATGAAAAGAGAGCCTACAGGCCACAAGTCCAAATAGGATCGAACACAACTGCCTTACAGAATGAATGCCCTGGGTTTTTCTTCCCCATACTCCGATTTATTACTGAGATCAGTCCAAAAGTCAATCATTTCACAGACCACCCCGACCCTCCCCAGCCGTCCCCTGTCCTCTATGTGAGTTCCCAAATGCCCTGCCCTTCATTTTCCTTTTATCCTTGCTTCCTGATTCTATCAATAAAAAAGTCACCAGAGCTTCAGTTCAGGGCTGGAGTTTGAGACTCTCAAGCTGACAGGTCTCGGTTAACGGTAGCCCCATCTGAACCTTCTTGGGGTTTGGATTGGATATTGACTCCGGCTAATACTTTGTCTCAGCCTTTTTGCCATGCCATAGTCGTGAACTGCAACAAGCATGTTCAAGTTTTTGTTTCTGGTTTTTTTTTTTGAGGGGGATTTGTTGGTTGGTTGGTTTCATGCAAAAAATAAAACTTTCCCAAGGCAATTTTATTTCATTTTTTCCTCTACCTATTTTTCACATTTCCTCTTCTTAGTTTGATTAATCTTTGAGACCACAGATCTTAAAATTTGTATTCCCTTTCTTTCCCTTTCCATTGGCATGAAGTGTCCATTTAACAGACTGGATAAATTTTAATGGATTTATTTCTTGATAGAGGAGAAGAAGTAGACAGGTCAGGAACTATCAAATAGCCTACTAGGTATTTGTTTGAGCTGCAGAAATTATGACAATGTATCCAAAAGGTTTAGGATACAGTTTTGAAAATAGTAGGTGTGAATTTAAAAATCATTAGTGAACTAATGAATGTAAAAGAGAAGTTTTTGAGGGTCCATTTGTATACAATCTGAATATATTCAGTGGCCCTCAGTATGTCTATGTTTTAATCCCCAGGACATGGGAATATTACTTTGCATAATAAAAGGGACTTTATAGATATGATTGAGAATCTTGAGAGGGAGAGTATGCAGAATTTTTTAGGTGGACAGATGTCATAACTGTCATAAGTAAAAGATAAAAGCAAGACAGTCCAAGGCAAAGGGCAAAGTTGGAGCAATAGTGGCTTGGTAGATGGAAGAGGATCACAAGCAAAGCACATAGGCAGCCTCTAAAAGATGGAAGAGGCAAGGAAACATTCTCACCTACAGCTGCCGGCAGGAAAACAGCCCTGCCAACGCCTGGAGTTGAACCCAGGGAGGCCTATTTCAGACTTCTGACATCCAGAACTGTAGGATTAAAAAATTATGCTGCTTTAAAACACAAACCCTGTGATAATTTGTCACAGCATGAATAGGAAACTAACGTCAGTTGCATTCTAGTTCAACTGGAATCTCTTCAAATTCTGTGGATCTCAGATTTCTTTTCTGAATATCAAAAGCACCAAAAATAATATGTAACAGTGCCTTACTTTTTTTTCCTCCTTGCTAAGATGAAGTACCCAACACCGGAGGTTAAGGGAGAGATGGTTTAATGTGGCTTACAGTGTGTAGGGGTTTCAGTCCACAGACGGCTGGCTCCATGGCAGGGTGGCATCGCAGAGAAGTAAGGAGTGCAGGAGAGAAACAGTTCAGGGCATGGCACGGAAGGAAGCAGCTGGTAACAAGTGACAGCAGCCACCCTCTCTCTGTCCCTTGTGTTCCATTCAGGCTGCCCATCCTAGGGCCAGGCAGCACTCACGCCAGGGTGGGGCACCCTTACTCAATGCCAGCATCACACACTCTAGATCCAGCCACCTCCAAAAAGCCCCACCTGTGACTGCATGTGGCTTTGGGGGCATCTAGACACAGCCGAAACAAACAGTTTAACACAGGGCCGGGATTCAGTTCAGTGTTTCCACCACCTGCCTCACAAGCTCAAGGTCCTGAGTTCAATCCCCAGTACCAAAAAAAAAAAGAAAGAAAAGAAAGCAAACAGTTTAACACAGTGCAGAGTGCCTGTTTACCTCAATAATCAGAGCTGTCTAGTCTCTAAGTAGACTTAAAGATTAAATTAAAGTGATAATTCTGATAAAACTATGTTTTATGGATAAAATGCAGGAGCCGAATCCTAAACTCCTACAAACATGAATTCCCGAGAGGGTAGGCAATTTAATTTCAGGAACCTTAGGAAAAGAGGGATAATCTGTAATTGCTAATAAGTCTACAAAACTCTTTATGAGTAAATATTTAACTTAGTAATATACAGATATCATTGCAAATAGTGTGAAATAGTTTGCATTTTTCAATTTGCAATAGCAAATCTTTTACCATCACAGATTTTCAGAATTCCTCTGTCTCCAGAAATTCTTCAGGATAATAACTTCAGCATTGATGCAAATGTGTTCTCAGCTTTGCATACATTAGGATTCTTGTTTATTTACCAGCTTGTTTCTCCCTGAGGGATCTTGTAACTCCTCATTCTTGAAGCTCCTGATAGCCTCACCTCTGCAGCCTGGTAGTGGTAGCGTCTCTCATATTTTCTGCAATGCTCATGGCCACCCATGACATGCAAGTCTAAAATTAGCTTCTACTTTTCCTCATCCTTCTTTTTCCAAAGCTCCCAAAAAGAAAAAATCCCTCTACTGCTAATCTCTATTTCCTATTCTGGCTCCTTCTTTTTCTAATTATATATAATAGGCATCACAAAATTTGCATTTACTGGAACCAAAATCTCCATAGTTGCCAAAAAAAAAATACTGGTGTAAATTTGCATATAATTAAAGTTTGCATAAAGGAAACCTAGTTGGGGAGGGATCCTGTGCTCAGTAACTAGCAAATCCTTTCCTCTCTGCCTGATGTCCCAGGCCCGCCTCCCAGCCTGTTTGTGTGTGTGTTTCCGCCTGGCTGCAGTTATCTAGGCTCAGCTCCAGGGGCTTAGAGATGATGTTATGAAGTTTTAATTAAAGTAGCCTCACACACTTCGTCAATGGCTTAGAAAGCTTCCCAAAAGAAACTGCAAGACGTCAATAATGCAGGAACAGAGCAACAACTAGAAAAAGGCAGAGCAGGTGCCTTCCCAGTCCCATGGCAGGGGTTTCTTTCTGTTTGTTTGTGTGTTCGTTTGGCTGAACTGTGAGGGCAGAGCAGGGAGGAGCTACTGAGATATGACAGAAACACTGAGATGATCAACAGTTCTATTTGGCAATGTGAGAAATGGTTTACTTGTTCAGAGGCAGAAGAGGAGTGAAAGTGAGACTTCTATTTCTCATTCTTGTAAGAACAGGTTGTCAGTCAAGAAGCAGACTGACACACCCCAGGGCAGTTGAGTGAGTAATTTCAGTCTGAGCACTCAGCTCCCTTCACCCTCTCCTCACTGGCTCCAGTACTGAGATACAGTCAGATCTCCAAGTTGGTGCCTACCCCTTAGCCTGCTCCCTCTGTAAAAGCCAATGATTGGACTACAGGGGGTAACTTCTTAACTGTCAGTGCTTTTCCAGTCAGAGTTAGTATAGTGAATTCCATACTTAATTGACCATTTATTCTTCCCTTTTTGCTTAGAGACCCTCTCAGATGCATGAACTCAGTCACATTCTCAGGCTAAAAGACTACCCTGAAGATAGACCACTTGCCTATGTGTCTGTTATGGGCAAAGTGGATTCACGCCCACTGACACTGACTGTGAATGTCAGCGCCAGTATATTGGCTCATTGAGACAATCTGTAATAATGGTAGGAAGCTGTCTCAGTCAGTGAGATACCCTATGAGCAGGTCCGAAGACTATGAGGGCAGATCTTACCAGTCTTAATTTTCCAGGAAAGCTTCAAGTCATGCATTACTCACTCAATCTAATACTTTACGAAATTTCAGTAAATGTAAACTTAGTTTAAAATCTAATGCTTAAACTTTATAATCCATACAAAAGATTAAGAAGCTATACATTACAAATGGTTGCATCTTAGTGCAGTGTAAAGGCTGACATAATGGGTGGGAAATGCTAGTACAATACTGTAGTAGCTCACTCAGCCATAATGAAGAAAGAAATCATTTTGTTTGCAGAAAAATGGATGCAAGTACAGATCATTGATGGTCCAGTTAAGAGAAATAAGTCAAGATTCAAAAAGTCAAATATTGCATGTTTTCACTAATATACAGAATTTAGAAAGAATTATTTTTAAGAGAGAGAAGACATAGAAACAGAGGGGAGGGGGAGATCATCACAAACAAGAGGATCAGGGTGCTACCGGGGCTTGGGGTGCTGGGTCCCCTAGAGGTGGTTTCTAGGTTTTTTTCTGTCGACCAAAGAATTGGTCAAGACAAGTGCAAACCATAGCAAAGATTTACATTTATTAAAGGTGGGTAATGAAACAGGTTCTGCAGAGTGACTTTAGGCCAAGTAAGAGTGAGAAAATAAGTATACTCTGCAGGACCAGAACAGGTGACTGCAAATGGACATAAAAATCCTAAGCTCAAGGCCAGCTGGCATCAGGTTTGGGCTGGCCCATCCGAAACCTGCATGTTAGATGCCAAAAGGACTATTTAATTATTATGTACTAACAAAAATATGATAAATTGTACTGACTTCATCAATATAGACTCTGATGCTATATGTACATAGGCAATATTGCTAAGAATAAAGAAATAAACACTTAAACAATGACAGAGCAGGATATAGATTCCGCAGTTGAATGAAAGTACAAATGTTCCTAACATGTTTTTGTTCACAGAATTTTGTCATTTAATATTAAATTACATTAAAAATATTTTCTTTATGATCCTATAAGTCAAAGAGGCCTTAGCATATAGTAGTTTAATAAACACAAGGTTTTTAAGAAGTGTGTAATTGTAACCACTGTTACAGTAGATGACCTTATTGTCAGAAAAATAATTTCTAAAAGTTTATACAGTGTCTGGCTTATATGTTATTTACTTTGTGTGTCATAGATAAGCTTTTGCACCAACATTGAAATAGAAAGCATACAGAATGCTACATAGAATGCAATCAATGTGACTGATATATCTATAAAAGAAAAAATAATGCAAAATTATTCTGGTAATTGCCATAAGAGGGGAGATAATCATAGAAATATTTTTTTACTCTGCAGACTTTATTATGAAAATGATACTGTGCCAAAGCTTTTTGAAAGGACTACAGAAAAATAAAGGGCAATATCACATTTCTCTTGCATAAAAATGCCAGTGTTCCACATGTGCTGACCTTCTCTGTAGATGAGAAGTGACGGCCAGTAACTGGCAGATATATTTGTAAAACTAAACTCACTTGCTCCGTCCCTGCAAGGTAAAAGTGGAGTTTTCACAGTGATTAAGAGAATGGCTCTCAAGAGGAAGAATCTACTATGAAGACAGCATCATGAAAACAGTTCGGAAATATTTACATCATATGATTTATCTATTTGATACAATAGCCAAATTGGATAATTCTATCCCTTAAAACTCGGACCAGGCATCCTCTATTTAGACTTTTTTTCCAATCATTCTGGGAGTTAGTTAAAACTTTCCTGAAATTCTTCCCTTTAATTCCC